AACAATGGGTGGAAATCTCTCACCTGTATTTTACAAAGAGAACAATGGGTTGAAATCTTTCACCTGTATTTTACAAAGAGAACAATGGGTTGAAATCTCTCACCTGTATTTTACAAAGAGAACAATGGGTTGAAATCTCTTACCTGTATTTTACAAAGAGAACAATGGGTTGAAATCTCTCACCTATAACCAACTGACAGAACAAGGACTTGGAATCTCTTACCTGTATTTAACACACAGAACAAGGACTTGGAATCTCTTACCTGTATTTAACACATAGAACAAGGACTTGGAATCTCTTACCTGTATTTAACACATAGAACAAGGACTTGGAATCTCTTACCTGTATTTAACACATAGAACAAGGACTTGGAATCTCTTACCTGTATTTAACACACAGAACAAGGACTTGGAATCTCTTACCTGTATTTAACACACAGAACAAAGACTTGGAATCTCTTACCTGTATTTAACACACAGAACAAGGACTTGGAATCTCTTACCTGTATTTAACACACAGAACAAGGACTTGGAATCTCTTACCTGTATTTAACACACAGAACAATGGTTTGCAATGTTTCAATTATATCTTACACACTGAGCAATGGCGCCCAAGGTCTGATCCGTAACTTAAAGAACAATGATGTTTCACCTGTAACTTACACAATATTGGATACTAAGCTCTCTCTCTAACTTACAGAACAATGGCCAGCAATGCTTCACCTGTAACTTACAGAACAATGGCCGGCAATGCTTCACCTGTAATTTGCACACTGAACCATGGATACCAACCTCTCACCTAAACTTACAGAACAATAGCTTGCAATGTTTCACCTGTAGCTCACACACTTAACATCAGATACCAACCTCTCACCTGTAACTTATAGAACAAAGATGTTTCACCTGTAACTTACACAATATGGGATACTAAGCTCTCTCTCTAACTTACAGAACAATGGCCAGCAATGCTTCACCTGTAACTTACAGAACAATGGCTGGCAATGTTTCACCTGTAGCTCACACACTTAACATCAGATACCAACCTCTCACCTGTAACTTATAGAACAATGGCTGGCAGTGTTTCACCTGTAGCTCACACACTTAACATCAGATACCAAGCTCTCACCTAAACGTACAGAACAATGGCTGTCAATGTTTCACCTGTAACTCACACACTTAACATCAGATACCAACCTCTCACCTAAACTTACAGAACAATGACTGGCAATGTTTCACCTGTAACTCACACACTTAACATCAGATACCAACCTCTCACCTAAACTTACAGAACAATGACTGGCAATGTTTCACCTGTAACTCACACACTTAACATCAGATACCAACCTCTCACCTAAACTTACAGAACAATGACTGGCAATGTTTCACCTGTAACTCACACACTTAACATCAGATACCAACCTCTCACCTAAACTTACAGAACAATGACTGGCAATGTTTCACCTGTAACTCACACACTTAACATCAGATACCAACCTCTCACCTAAACTTACAGAACAATGACTGGCAATGTTTCACCTGTAACTCACACACTTAACATCAGATACCAACCCCTCACCTAAACTTACAGCACAATGGCTGGCAGTGTTTCACCTGTAACTCACACACTTAACATCAGATACCAACCTCTCACCTGTAACTTATAGAACAATAGCTGGCAATGTTTCACCTGTAACTCACACACTTAACTTCAGATACCAACCTCTCACCTGTAACTTACAGAACAATAGCTGGCAATGTTTCACCTGTAACTCACACACTTAACATCAGATACCAACCTCTCACCTATAACTTATAGAACAATAGCTGGCAATGTTTCACCTGTAACTCACACACTTAACATCAGATACCAACCTCTCACCTGTAACTTATAGAACAATAGCTGGCAATGTTTCACCTGTAACTCACATACTGAACATCAGATACCAAGATCTCCCCTGTGACTTATAGAACAATGGCTGGCAATGTTTCACCTGTAACTCACACACTTAACTTCAGATACCAACCTCTCACCTGTAACTTATAGAACAATAGCTGGCAATGTTTCACCTGTAACTCACACACTTAACTTCAGATACCAACCTCTCACCTGTAACTTATAGAACAATCGCTGGCAATGTTTCACCTGTAACTCACACACTTAACTTCAGATACCAACCTCTCACCTGTAACTTACAGAACAATAGCTGGCAATGTTTCACCTGTAACTCACACACTTAACATCAGATACCAACCTCTCACCTGTAACTTATAGAACAATCACTGGCAATGTTTCACCTGTAACTCACACACTTAACATCAGATACCAACCTCTCACCTATAACTTATAGAACAATAGCTGGCAATGTTTCACCTGTAACTCACACACTTAACATCAGATACCAACCTCTCACCTGTAACTTATAGAACAATAGCTGGCAATGTTTCACCTGTAACTCACACACTTAACTTCAGATACCAACCTCTCACCTGTAACTTACAGAACAATAGCTGGCAATGTTTCACCTGTAACTCACACACTTAACATCAGATACCAACCTCTCACCTATAACTTATAGAACAATAGCTGACAATGTTTCACCTGTAACTCACACACTTAACATCAGATACCAACCTCTCACCTGTAACTTATAGAACAATAGCTGGCAATGTTTCACCTGTAACTCACACACTTAACTTCAGATACCAACCTCTCACCTGTAACTTACAGAACAATAGCTGGCAATGTTTCACCTGTAACTCACACACTTAACATCAGATACCAACCTCTCACCTGTAACTTATAGAACAATAGCTGGCAATGTTTCACCTGTAACTCACACACTTAACTTCAGATACCAACCTCTCACCTGTAACTTACAGAACAATAGCTGGCAATGTTTCACCTGTAACTCACACACTTAACATCAGATACCAACCTCTCACCTGTAACTTACACAATGAACATTGGATACCAATCCATGTCTTTAATATAAATTTGCTTTCTAGACAGATGGTCCTCAATATGTATCAAAAAGCATGATATATCAACCTTGGTATTTCCATAACTTCCAACAAGAAATAACCCTTTTTGAGAAACAGGAACTTGCTGTATCTGTCATATCTGTATTCATTATCAGTAGGTGTGACAGTAATACGGATTCACTGGAAATCACATGTTAAATGAGTCAGTTGCTTCATTCCATGAATGGACACTCAAATGTATGTTGATCAAATGATCAGTTTGCCTGTCTCACTGCTTTCATTTTTTCCAGATTGCTGGTGGTATACACTGCTGCTGGACTTTGAGCCTAAGAGGTTTGCAGTAACCTGTATGCAACATTTTAATCCATTCAAATTGTGGCACAGAATGTACGTATTTACTTGACATTCAAATGGAATTATTGGATATATGAAAACTATGACATTTACTGAATTATGGAACACCATATTTCATTTAGATTTTCCTCAGTCGCCTCTTAGGTTTCAAAGTTTAGACCCTTAGCATCACTGACCACTGTATGATGCAGTTCAATTCATAGTTTGGCTCTACTCTATCTAATGCTAAAGTTCTATTGAAATGTCTTAAGCAATTGTATATCATGTGTACAATCTTTGGCTTTTCTGTATCTGCTATTTTGTATTGAAAAGTGCAATTCTGTTGCCAGTCTTTTGTACAGTCTTTGCCTCTCTCTACTTAATCTATTTTAACTTTCTATTGAAAGGTGAAGGTCACTTGTGTATCTTTTTAATAATCAATGAGACTTTGTCCACACAGTTTAACAGTTACATACCTAAATCAATTTTGAAATTCACTGTGATGTACAAAATTTTTGATACATGTATTTTTGCAATATGAGGATATTTACAATCTGTTGTAAGGTCTTGTGTCCTAACAATGCATTTTATTTTTTAAATGACCAATTAATGGCTGTAATTTAAAGTCAGTGTTTTATCAAGCTGATGACTATTCCCATGCCATGCATGCTTTCTCCATATTTCAAATACCATATCCAATAAGCTTAAGCCCATGCCTGTCATGAAGTCTGCCTGTACATATTGCTGGTGTTCAGATAACAAGTAAATGCTGTATGATTGTCATGCAGTAAGCCTATCCCCTGACTTTGAGTCAGTATTTATATGTTGAACCCCTTGTTTCATCATTTTAAACCAGACAATCATTCTTTGCATCAGATTTTGGTAAATCTGATTTTTTGCTGACTACAAAAAATTAGCACTGCAAACGTTGACCCTGTCAGAGGTCTGACAAGGGGGGATAACTTGTGACAAGGTTGATGACAGGTACAAGGAACTGATACTCTGTGACTGGCGTTATTGGATTTTCTCACTCACCAACCAAAGTAATAAACCAAGAATTAATCAGCACTATGCTAATGCCCAGCACTGCCAAGATACACAAAATGAGGGAGGAAACAATCCAAAAACAATTTTGCTTCTCCAAGATTGACAGAGCAGGGTAAAGACCAGTGTAATATAAATTCAAATGCTACTGTCAAAGCCTGACAACACTGTAATATTACTGGTCTTACTCCGTGCAACAGGTTGTCATACTCTACCCAAGGAACAACATATCAGGTTTTGGGGTCATCACCATGCCAACAGCTGTCCTTCACGCATGACAAGGACTTCAAGCAGTCTACCTATCAGCAAGTGGTGTTTACAGGGAAAAGGGCATCAGAGCTGATAGGAAATATTGTATAAATCACATGTAAGTCTGAAATCATGCCGAGAGATCCCATCATAATAGTGGTACAATTTATCAGATCTACACATTGTCACGAGGATCAACATCAGCACAAACCAGCGAGTAGCAATGTGAAGGACACTCAGGGAAGTTTGTCCACGCACAGTCAGCTACATTAAGAACACTTCTGAGTAATATTGTCTGCATTTATAGACAAAAGAATATGAAATATTCAAAGATTGAAAGTACACAGGAACTTCAAGAAAAATAGTTCTCACTAGCTTAAGGTTGTACTTACTGCGTTGGTAACATCAGCAGCCAGGCGCGCAGCATACCTGGCGATGAGGCGATGCTCGTCATCTATTCTTGTCGTGTCCACGTTGGTTTTGCTGGGGCTGAAACACAAAACAGTCATGTAAACACCATCATTGTTCATCTTATTTTAAATAGCTGTGAGGTAAGAAATTCACCAGTCTAACAAATGTAAATGTAAGAGGTAAGGAAGGGGAGGGACGACAGATCAGACTGAGACCCTGAGCTTGTAAACACTAAGAAAGACATGATATGAAGCTGGTCTCTTGTTATAACCCTGACTCGTCTGGTTACACATTTGTTAGCTTTTTAAAATCTTCAGCCCTAAAGATGTAAAGGGTACTGACAATCTAAATTATCTCCTAGCCAAGTCCACACAGATACCGCTTGAATCAAGACACAGGTGACCCTGTCTTAGACAAATGTACACAGATACCGCTTGAATCAAGACACAGGTGACACTGTCTTAGACAAATGTACACAGATACCGCTTGAATCAAGACACAGGTGACACTGTCTTAGACAAATGTACACAGATACCGCTTGAATCAAGAGAAAGACACAGGTGACCCTGTCTTAGACAAATGTACACAGATACCGCTTGAAACAAGAGAAAGACACAGGTGACCCTGTCTTAGACAAATGTACACAGATACCGCTTGAATCAAGACACAGGTGACACTGTCTTAGACAAATGTACACAGATACCGCTTGAATCAAGAGAAAGACACAGGTGACCCTGTCTTAGACAAATGTACACAGATACCGCTTGAATCAAGACACAGGTGACACTGTCTTAGACAAATGTACACAGATACCGCTTTAAACAAGAGAATGACACGGGCAACACTGTCTTAGACAAATGTACACAGATACTGCTTGAAACAAGAGAAAGACACAGAAAACACTTTCATAAGACAAGAGAAATGCAATGAAGTCAAACAAGGTTTTACACCAGGATACCAGGATCTTCTTTCAAGATGGCTGTTCTAATGTATTGAATCAAATTGTCATCAGAAGTCAACTGGCCCATAAAGATAAGCCTCTCACTATGGCCATGAATGAAGCACTATGTTTATATTTTTAATTTTCATCTTGTTATGAGGGGAGATAACCCCAATTTGTGTACTTTTCCTGTAATATTACTATATTGTGTGAAGTTCATGCACTGGAAATACACAATTGACTTTTTAAGGCTAGACACTACATAAATGTGATACAATAGTAAATATGAACTTTAGAACTACAGGCAAAAATACCCATTCTTTTGTTAACCATTCTTTGAACATTAGTCCTTAAGTCCTGAATTTAAGACAGCTGGTTCTGTTCTCAATTTTTCAATTCTTAACATTCAATATGATGATGCTCATTGTCCTAACGAGGTAACAAGAGTAATGACATTGTCACACACTGTTAGCTGTACTGTAAATAACCAGTCGTACCAAGACAGTGTCCCAGTAAACACCAGAGAAATCATTTCTACACTTATGAGTCATGATGTATGGAATGATTTTGCCTTGCATTCCTTTTAATTATAAAGCTAATTCTTTTAAAAGAAAGCATTTTTCTGTATTATTGAATGTCTCTTCAACGTTAACAGATTTGATTGTGTAGTTCCTATTTAAATACCAATATACATTGGATTGTAGTTAACACCAGACTAGCTCATTCCCTGTTTGTATTATTGCGTTATGTCGACTAGTATAAAAAGTGGATGCTTCTGTTACCTAGCTGTATCACATTAGCCAGCATCTCCACACTGATCCTTCACAATCTCGTTAGTAGCAACATTTGGCATTACCAAGATGAATTACTGCTAGTTGCCCAGAGTAATGGTAAGTTAGGAGAGCTGAAGAGCGTAAGAGCATGAGTATTGTCCTTACCTGCGAGGACTGATGCCACTGTCGACAGACGACACCTCTGATGACTGGGTCAGTGGTAGTTCCTGATGGAACCCATTCCTGGGCGGCTGTGGCGTAGGAGGTCTGTAACACAAATACAATCACATGTGAATGGTATGCTTGACATTTTAACTGTTACAATTCCATGGTTTTACATCTACAGGACATACAGCTCTCTACGTCTCTTACAATATTGTGGAGATTTTTGGCCCCTGTTCCCCGGTGCAATGCTGTGTCGTGTTGCTAGAGGAGTGAGTAGAGATGCCTGACTGAGAAAACCACAGGAAAGTGTATAGGTAAATCTGGCAATCTGATTTAATATCAATCTTGCAAGAGCTAAATAAATCAATTGATTAAAAGTGCTGGAAAAAGGTTTGAGGGCTCACAGATGCACCTGCTTTTGCCTAAATCTTGTTTGTACACTGATGTCAGCAGCGATCAATGGCTTGGTACGGGGAACACGCATGAAGCACTGATCAATCATGAGAGGTTGTGTGGTATGTCACCATCACAATGTGGGTCTCACATACCACAACTTATAATTACACTCTGTTTAATACACTTCATTAACTCATTAACGATTTCATCCACATTCAGTTTTATCATTAAGTTACCCAGTTATGACATCAATGACCCTGGAATGATGTAATGACTACATATAGCACAATATGAATAGTGTCCTATACAGCACTATATTTATCAACTAGAAATTGTAGGCCAACAATTTGATGGACTTTTCACATATATTCAACCTCGTTTCCACAAACATGAGAGCCAACCATCCATCTGATTTATGTATCACATATCTAGACTCTACAATTTCAGATAATTTGTTTGTTACCTGAAAAAGAACTTTCTAAATGTGACCCGAAAACCAGAAGTTGAAATTTGATCCAATGCTTTCTTACTATTATCAAAAGTGATTGATTACAAAATGCAACTGACCAAATGCTATCACCATTTATCTATTCGTTACTCCAAATAAGCCTTTTTTAAGATTTTAAAACAATTGAACCCTATGACCTTGAAAGTGGGCGAGGGTCATTCCTATTATCAAACTTGATAGACCATGACATGTGCAATTTACGTATGAAAAATCATGACTCTTAAACTTGTAGAACTTGAGAAGAAGAATTTCAAAGTTTGTAATCAAACTTAACACTTCATAAAAACTTGAAATTCACACTTTTACATGGCTCTTTTTATTACTGTCATTAGCAATCCGTTGCAGTACAGACTTTATATATTGTATTCATCCTGTGCCTTTTGTTTACTGTGGTAAGGGCATTTAAAGACTTGTTTACAAAAAGGAATTGGTCATAGTATTTGAATGATCAAATATCATCATCCTGTGGCCCTGTATTATTTAGAAAAAGTCATTCAAAGATTTTAACAAAACTGACCCCGGTGACCCTGAAAGTATGTCAAGGTCTTTCATATGATCAAACCTGATAGCCAATGACCTGGACATCTTACATGTGAAATATCAATATCCTAGACATTGTAGAACTTGAGAAGAAGTTCTTCAAAAATCAAACAGCACTTCTGGATTTTTACCCCTATTGAAAACTGAAAGTTCATAAATTTCAATTTTTTTGTTTTTTTACTTATTCCTGTCGATAGCAATAAGTGATATTAACAAAATATGGTTCTAGGCCATGCCAATCTTGAGAAGTAGTTTTTCAAAATTTGTTGAATTTTGACCATTGTCAAAAAATACAAGTTTTTTCCTTTATTACCATTGCTAGCAACTGGCCACAGTATGCAACCGACTAAATATTGTCACATTGTAATTCTTGGTTATTGGTTAGACGCTATTTCAAGATTTTAACAAAATTAACTCCTGTGGGGGCCAAACCAATCTGAATGCTTCCTTACAATTCCAGTCAGCTATTTTGCGCAAATAGTCTTCAACATACAAAGCCAACAATGAATGCATGCTATATCACAAGGTCAATTGACGTTTTTGTGCACTTGAACAGAGCCACATGAATTAAATGACTAATTCTCAAGGAATTTTCCCATTAGTTCACTCATTAAATCATGCAATGGGAAAAATGTGAGACTTCTTAATTATCTACAAAAGGAAATGGCAGGACATGTTACATCTCTCCATAACAGATTTACAGTGAGTGCAGAAAAGTTACAGGAAGGCAGATAAAGAAAACCATTAATGAATTATCTCTCCTTAAAATGATGGGAAGACCTGTAGTATCAAAGTTTCCTGTTATAAATGAGCTTTTAAGTCCATCATCATCATCATCATCATCATCATCATCATCATCATCATCATCATCATCATCATCATCATCATCAATATGTGGGCGTCAAAATCTAATATCAAAACAAAATCTTTCCGACTATTTTTGCTTTTGGACGTCTATATATGGATATGGTGATTATATCAATTTCTATTAGTATCACAGAGGTAATCGGTAGAACACACGTAACCTCCTGTGATGGCTTTACCAGCAAAACAATTTGTGTCCGAGACAGAAGATTATGACTGGCAGATACAACACATGATAAATGCCATATTCTACATGCATTACATATACCCTGCTCAATATTCATGGAAAAGAAAATCACCCTCAGCACATGCCAAGGAATTTTAAGACTCCATGCATATTACGGAAATGACATTTTCAAAACAAACATGGCAGGGTTAAGAAATTTGGTCTGGTGCAGCAAGTCCCAGAAATTGTAGTTATCGTGGAAACTTTTTAACCGATGCTGTGTGGCACACCAATGAACAGCTTTATACAGTCAAGTAACACCGACAGTAGATACCCATTATAACCTACACTATAATGTCATTGATTTTACCACAGAACAAGTGAACTGTGTAACATATACAAGAAACCGAGTTGTTCCTTTTAAGTGAACAGCTTAAGGTTAATTAAATTCAAGAAATATTAGCAATATAGCAACAGATGAATTGATACCACAAACTCGCTGAGTAGTGAAGTACAAAAGAATGCCAAAGGGAATTAATGTTTTAACGTTAGCATATAAATAGATAAAGTGATACCAGAATATTGATATCTAACACCCAGTTCATGATAAATCTTTTTTATCATCAAAGTAAGCCTGAATCAACCCTTCCTTGTAGATATGTCGTGTAACAATTGAAGACGTTTATTTTACACAGTTTGAAATTGTGATTAAATTTACCATACTTATTTAGAATTAATCCATATGAAATGTAGGTTAATTTAAAAAGTGATTTGTAGATTAGATATTAAGTATGTATAATATCCAGTTAGCGATTTTTACATGGGAAAGTTAATTACAAATCTTAATATTGAACAGCAGTGAAGTAAAATCATATCATTCACTGTAAGAGCTATTTACGTTTATATTACGAAATACATCACATATACCAGCAGTATCGTAATTCAATTCCACACCAAAACTTGTAATAACAAATTCCAAAAATGAGTCTAAGAGATTTCAGGAAATTGCAGCGAATAGTTATTGATTACTACGGTAATGCACAGTACAAATCCTTTCCTTTTGCTCAAGGGACATCCAAATCTGACTTAACCTATAGTCAATACCTATATAGAGACCTAGCCTATTTCCATAGCTACCAGTTCAAGGTCAAAACTTAACATCAAGCATTGAAAATAGATCCCACCAGGGTTGTGTATAATTAATCTACGGAGATGTCTGTGATCAGTGAGTCTGATTGTGGATTCCACATGGAATGGTGTTTGGTACAATCCCTCAAAGCTAGATATTATTAGGAGTATAAACACCTATCAGCACTGAGGTGCTAATGCTCAGAAAAATATCTCAAAAATACAGTAGGATTCCTGGAGATAAACTTTTTCACATTCACAAACAGTATCTGTATAAAGTGATTTGAATATATTGATGTTACAATTTCTTCCTACCGCGCAAACTGTTAGAGGTTAGTATATAAACACAGGTATATAGCAATTAAACAATTTTATAAGTAAACATGATCAATAAATAAGAAATAAGCAGTAAAAAATATACCATGTATAACTCTGTGCATTAATTATTTTTTAAACAATTACCATTTTCTATATTTGTGATGTACATGCTTATAGTCTGAGAGAAGCATTTTTTTATTCCAAACTTTAGGTATTCCACAGTTCTTCAAACTATAGAAACTCATCTCCTATATAGGACAAGTTAACAGTAATCTTCCTCTAAGGACAGATAAATACTGACCTCGTACATAGGACAGACAATACTGACATTCTACAAAGGACAGATAAATACTGACCTCGTACATAGGACAGATAATACTGACCTCCTACAAAGGACAGATAATACTGACATTCTACAAAGGACAGATAAATACTGACCTCCTACATAGGACAGATAAATACTGACCTCCTACATAGGACAGATAATACTGACATTCTACAAAGGACAGATAAATACTGACCTCCTACATAGGACAGATAAATACTGACCTCCTACATAGGACAGATAAATACTGACATTCTACAAAGGACAGATAAATACTGACCCCCTACATAGGACAGATAAATACTTACATTCTACAAAGGACAGATAAATATTAAATTCCTACATAGGACAGATAAATACTGACCTCCTACATAAGACAGATAAATACCGGTCTCCTACAAAGGACAGAAAAAATATTGAATTCCTACATAGGACAGATAAATACTGACATTCTACATAGGACAGATAAACACTGGTCTCCTACATAGGACAGATAAACACTGGTCTCCTACATAGGACAGATAAACATTGACCTGCTACACAGGACAGATAAATACTAAACTCCTGAATAGGACGGATAGATGCTGACCTGCTACAAAGGACAGATAGATGCTGACCTGCTACAAAGGACAGATAGATGCTGACCTGCTACAAAGGACAGATAAACATGAATGTCCTACACTATACTGATAAACTTTGGAAATATTTGTCAAAGATATTCATTTAGTCAATAACACATGATATATAATAACGCAGTAAACCAGCTCTACAGCACACCTGTAATAATCGTTAATGTAATAACAGATGGCTAATCACCTGCGATTTAACAGCTACAACATACATGTGCACATACAACATATATACAAGCAGTAGGACAAGCCAAGCAGAACCTAACATACTTCAGGAGGCGCATAACATCCTCAAAAGGGAGCTTTCTGTAAAAATAGGGAAAACTCAAAATCACAAACAAAATTACTGAAACACAAAGCAAAAGTATGATTACTTTGGTGTGTGAAATATTCTCAGAAATGATATATATATATTGTGCATTTAGGACAAACACTGCACTGATAGAGTCATTATTTATCTCATTACAACATATATATATATATGTATATGTGTGTTATATAATTCGGACAGTGTTGAAAAAAGCATTCTAAGAATATAACTTGCAAATTATTCAATTTCATTCTTATGAATATTGTTACCAATTGTTGAACTAGTCATTTTTCCTATGTTGTCAATGCCACTCCATATTTCAGAGCTGGTTACAGTTCTATCAAAACTTTATCTACTAACATATGTGTTTTCTATTGTACAAAAAGTTTCAGTATTAGGAACAAGAAGAGTAAGACTACACTAATATAAGAAATATAATAACACAATCTAACTTGATATAGATATCAAAGAAAATGTAATAATATTAATAAAATATATCGAAAACTCAGCTTTTTGTAAGATAAAAAAATTTAGGTAAATGAAACAAGAACAAGATTGTTAATAGCTGGTTTGCCAAAAGAAAAGCATGAGCTCAAAGGCATTTCAACAGCAGTAAATGACACCAGAAGATTTCAGAATATAGCCTGTAAGCTACAAAAGTGCAAAATGGCCAAATAATTGTAGCCAGCAGGATATTGTCAAAGTTTGATGTTGTCTCGGATCTGTTATGGTGTTCAGTAGGGGCCAGTCCAAGTCTGATGATGTCTAAGATCTGTTATGGTGTTCAGTAGGGGCCAGTCCAAGTCTGACATGTCTAAGATCTGTTATGGTGTTCAGTAGGGGCCAGTCCAAGTCTGACATGTCTAAGATCTGTTATGGTGTTCAGTAGGGGCCAGTCCAAGTCTGTCATGTCTAAGATCTGTTATGGTGTTCAGTAGGGGCCAGTCCAAGTCTGACATGTCTAAGATCTGTTATGGTGTTCAGTAGGATCTAGTCCAAGTCTGACATGTCTAAGATCTGTTATGGTGTTCAGTAGGGGCCAGTCCAAGTCTGACATGTCTAAGATCTGTTATGGTGTTCAGTAGGGGCCAGTCCAAGTGTGATGACGTCTAAGATCTGTTATGGTGTTCAGTAGGATCTAGTCCAAGTCTGACATGTCTAAGATCTGTTATGGTGTTCAGTAGGGGCCAGTCCAAGTCTGATGATGTCTAAGATCTGTTATGGTGTTCAGTAGGAGCCAGTCCAAGTCTGTCATGTCTAAGATCTGTTATGGTGTTCAGTAGGGGCCAGTCCAAGTCTGTCATGTCTAAGATCTGTTATGGTGTTCAGTAGGGGCCAGTCCAAGTCTGTCATGTCTAAGATCTGTTATGGTGTTCAGTAGGAGCCAGTCCAAGTCTGACATGTCTAAGATCTGTTATGGTGTTCAGTAGGGGCCAGTCCAAGTCTGTCATGTCTAAGATCTGTTATGGTGTTCAGTAGGGGCCAGTCCAAGTCTGACATGTCTAAGATCTGTTATGGTGTTCAGTAGGGGCCAGTCCAAGTCTGTCATGTCTAAGATCTGTTATGGTGTTCAGTAGGGGCCAGTCCAAGTCTGTCATGTCTAAGATCTGTTATGGTGTTCAGTAGGATCTAGTCCAAGTCTGACATGTCTAAGATCTGTTATGGTGTTCAGTAGGGGCCAGTCCAAGTCTGTCATGTCTAAGATCTGTTATGGTGTTCAGTAGGGGCCAGTCCAAGTCTGACATGTCTAAGATCTGTTATGGTGTTCAGTAGGGGCCAGTCCAAGTCTGTTAGTCTGGTGTTATGGTTTTCAGTAGGATCTAGTCCAAGTCTGACATGTCTAAGATCTGTTATGGTGTTCAGTAGGGGCCAGTCCAAGTCTGACATGTCTAAGATCTGTTATGGTGTTCAGTAGGGGCCAGTCCAAGTCTGATGATGTCTAAGATCTGTTATAGTGTTCAGTAGGGGCCAGTCCAAGTCTGTCATGTCTAAGATCTGTTATGGTGTTCAGTAGGGGCCAGTCCAAGTCTGACATGTCTAAGATCTGTTATGGTGTTCAGTAGGGGCCAGTCCAAGTCTGTCATGTCTAAGATCTGTTATGGTGTTCAGTAGGGGCCAGTCCAAGTCTGACATCAGTAGGGGCCAGTCCAAGTCTCTAAGATCTGTTATGGTGTTCTGTATGGGAGTAGGGGCCAGTCCAAGTCTGACATGTCTAAGATCTGTTATGGTGTTCAGTAGGGGCCAGTCCAAGTCTGTCATGTCTAAGATCTGTTATGGTGTTCAGTAGGTCTAGTCCAAGTCTGATGTCTAAGATCTGTTATGGTGTTCAGTAAGTCATGTCAATCATGTAAGATCTGTTATGGTGTTCAGTAGGGGCCAGTCCAAAGTCTGTCATGTCTAAGATCTGTTATGGTGTTCAGTAGGGGCCAGTCCAAGTCTGTCATGTCTAAGATCTGTTATGGTGTTCAGTAGGAGCTAGTCCAAGTCTGACATGTCTAAGATCTGTTATGGTGTTCAGTAGGGGCCAGTCCAAGTCTGATGACGTCTAAGATCTGTTATAGTGTTCAGTAGGAGCCAGTCCAAGTCTGATGATGTCTGGTTTATGATGGATCCAAAAGGAATTTGAATAACATTTGTGGGTTTATAAATAGAATTTAAAGCAACATATGTATGTATAGGTGTAAAAATACATAAAACTTGCAATACATACACCAGTACAAAATAGCAAAGATAGTAAAAATAAAGAGGGAATGTTTGTAAGACTTACACGATGTAGGAAAGATCCATGGTTTTCTCTGGTGTGTCAGGAAAGTGAGGAATCTTCTGGTTTGCCTTGGTCGGCACACATTTCATAGACTTCTTAAGATTGTGGCCTATCTGTTTAGCTGCTGACTTCTAGCATGATAAAAATATACAACTGTGTAAGGTTATCTTTAGTAAAGCCAACTGAGCAGTAATAATTAGAAAAGTAATTAAATCTAATAATTCTTGTAATCATTACATTTATGTGTCTGACATTGAAATCTGTTACAGGATAACAAGTGCAGGACATCTTTTTCTCATACATGAAACAGGCAAATCTCATGTGCTATCCCGTGCCAGATTTTTTTTTATATTATCAAATCTGTCTAAATTTACATAATATATAGCACCAAAAGATGTCAAAAACAAACTTGTCATTTCACTTGTCTTTAAGAAGTATAACTGCAAAGGGAGATAATTTTATCGAATGGAAGAATTTTGAAAATAAAAATTGTTGAGAAAAATTCCTACATATTGACACACTAAAACGCAGAAAAATGAATCTATCAGCATTATGTGTGAGAAATGGATTTATGTCAGTCTTGGTCTGACATTCTATGATATTTCATTCTTGGTTTCAGTTTGAATGGGTTTTTGTTATTTGATGTCAGCCCTCGACTTATATAAAATCATTCTCAAACAGGAAACAGATCCTATTAATGCATCAGACTGAGGACATATAAAAACTGGTGGAATCCACCTGTATACAGAAACCAAGATTTACAACCATCAATTCAGTCCTTCCTATATCTACATCAAAGACCAGTGTGTAAAGATTACATGTCTAGCTGTCTTTCCTTCCCATCAAGTGTTGACAGATAAATGTTTCAAAATCAACTTACATAGGATGTGTACTCTTTCATATCATGGTCATTACTATGGTTTCCAGAGGTTCGACCCCTCCAGAAGCAGTCTTGGCACAACTGGTAGTTATAGCAACGCTGACACTTGTAACGGAATCCCATAAAGGACTCACGGTGACAACCCTCACACTGCACTGGATGAAACACTGAAACAATGAGAGTAAGAGTTAACTCCCCTGGAGTAGCTAAACCATGTTTTACACTTGTGCTCCTTTACAGTAAATTATAAAATGTGTTATTGATTGTAACCATATATTTACAGTTATAACCATACACATGTTATTTAGCCCATCATTATCTTTTCTGATCATTAAAACAATAATCCAAAACTTTTTCATTGTTCTATGAAGCCCATCTCAAGCCCATGTCAAGCCCATCTCCTGACTGTGCAAGAAGTCAGATGTAAGTCTCCTGTGGTTATTTTTTCTCCTACAAAGTTATTAGTCAATATAAGGCATGCCATTCAACTTAAAGATTAAAATCACTTCCATATAGATAAAGATTGTTACTAGGATTGCTAGGACTGGGCGATGTCACATCTGGTTCCTTACCATTTTCCACCTGTGCCATTCTGTTAAGTATGGGTAGCCACATGAGGCATTGCGGTCCTGGATCTGACATCATCACATTGAGAAAGTCATTCACATTCACTGGCGACCTCTGTTGGAGAAACAAGCTATTTGTAATGACAGTATATAGTGGAATAACTATTACATACTATCATTGGTGGTGTCAGTTTGTGAAGGAAAATTTCCACTAGATAAAGAAGTTATATAACAACATTAATATCCTGTACCTGATTATGTGTCGAGATCTAGTGGAGAAAATTTCCTGTACATGATGAAGTTTTGAGATCTAGTGGAGAAAATTTCCTGTACATGATGAAGTTTTGAGATCTCCTGTCAATAAAGATGTATTGCCTTCCCCTGGGAAACTTGCAACACATCCTTTCCATAATACATAGCTCTCTCTCTCTCTCTCTGCCCACTACATATTCCCTATACTTCTGATATTAGCTGGTGGCTACCTCAATGAACAACATATGGGAGGCCCATCACATGCCATCAAGAGCAATAAGCATAAAGTACCCTGACTAAGGCCACATCTACAAGTAAGACATGACAAACCTGTCTATTTCTTATCTTTCTGCAAAACACAAACTACAACTGAGGAGCATCAGTGCAAGCACCTGCAATCCTCAGCAGTAGTTAATTAGGCTTAAGCTCTAGCCCATGAAGATATTATGGCCTCTTTCTCCAGTTATAACCAATCACTATCAATGCAGGTTAAAAAAGAACAATAATCATATAAATGTTATGGCTAAATTGTGTAATTTTATTTGATATAGTACAAATATACCAGGTAGGCTTCCTACTAACTGTGATGTGACCAGAGCAGCATGTAAACTGTACTGATAGCATTGGTCACAACAAACAGGGCCATGGATCTAAAAATCAATTTATGAGAAAAAAGTGGTGTTAGGTGTTAACCATGACAGCGTGTGATTGTCTTATTATTTTCATGTGAAAGAAGTGAAGAGGATAATTGTCCAGACAAAAGTTTTCCCAGTAGAACCAAGGCTAACCTGATGGAATAGGACTACACCTGTATATCTATAGCAGTTTTCCTAGTAGAACCAAGGCTAACCTGATGGAATAGGACTACACCTGTATATCAACAGCACTTTTCCCAGTAGAACCAAGGATAACCTGATGGAACAGGACTACACCTGTTTATCAACAGCAGTTTTCACAGTGGAACCAAGGCTAACCTGATGGAACAGGACTACACCTGTATATCAACAGCAGTTTTCCCAGTAGAACCAAGGACTACACCTGTATATCAACAGCAGTTTTCCCAGTAGAACCAAGGACTACACCTGTATATCAACAGCAGTTTTCCCAGTAGAACCAAGGACTACACCTGTATATCAACAGCAGTTTTCCCAGTAGAACCAAGGCTATCCTGCTGGAACAGGACTACTCCTGTATATCAACAGCAGTTTTCCCAGTAGAACCAAGGCTAACCTGATGGAACAGGACTACTCCTGTATATCAACAGCAGTTTTCCCAGTAGAACCAAGGCTAACCTAATGGAACAGGACCATACCTGTATATCAACAGCAGTTTTCCCAGTAGAACCAAGGCTATCCTGCTGGAACAGGACTACACCTGTATATCAACAGCAGTTTTCCCAGTAGAACCAAGGCTATCCTGATGGAACAGGACTACACCTGTATATCAACAGCAGTTTTCCCAGTAGAACCAAGGCTAACCTGATGGAACAGGACTACACCTGTATATCTATAGCAGTTTTCCCAGTAGAACCAAGGCTAACCTGATGGAATGGGACTATACCTGTATATCTATAGCAGTTTTCCCAGTAGAACCAAGGCTATCCTGATGGAACAGGACTACACCTGTATATCTATAGCAGTTTTCCCAGTAGAACCAAGGCTAACCTGATAGAACAGGACTACACCTGTATATCTATAGCAGTTTTCCCAGTAGAACCAAGGCTAACCTGATGGAACAGGACTACTCCTGTACATCAACAGCACATCAGTTCTTCAGCATTATGGCTGACCTAAACTGTTAATTCTCACCGTATCTGATAACATCCTACAGCAATGGAACCAAGAGGTATCTCAGGACCCTGTGTATATACCTCATCAAACCACACAGCTCATAATTACAGTGATATCTACCATCATATCACATATCTCAGGACCCTGTGTATATACCTCATCATATCACATATCTCAGGACCCTGTGTATATACCTCATCATATCACTGAGATCAGCACCCTGTGTATATACCTCATCATATCACTGAGATCAGGACCCTGTGTATATACCTCATCATATCACTGAGATCAGAACCCTGTGTATATACCTCATCATATCACTGAGATCAGGACCCTGTGTATATACCTCATCATATCACTGAAATCAGAACCCTGTGTATATACGTCATCATATCACTGAGATCAGGACCCTGTGTATATACCTCATCATATCACTGAGATCAGGACCCTGTGTATATACCTCATCATATCACTGAGATCAGGACCCTGTGTATATATCTCATCATATCACATATCTCAGGACCCTGTGTATATACCTCATCATATCACATATCTCAGGACCCTGTGTATATATCTCATCATATCACATATCTCAGGACCCTGTGTATATACCTCATCATATCACTGAGATCAGGACCCTGTGTATATACCTCATCATATCACTGAGATCAGCACCCTGTGTATATACGTCATCATATCACATAGTTTAGCACTCTGTGTATATACCTCATCATATCACTCAGATCATAGTTACTGGGAAATCTGCCATCATATCACATAATCCAGGACAAAAGGTATATATCTCATATCTTACACATAATAATTATAAGAATATCTGCCATAAATATCATCAAATCACACATTTCTGAATTCCGAGGGATATCTCACCTCACATTTCACATTTCATAATCACAAGGAAATCTGCCATCACATCTCATAGTTCTGAATCCAAAGGATATCTCACCTCATATTTCACAGCTAATAATCTCAGCGATATCTAACACAGATCCAAAGGCTAATGCGACAAGGATATCTCACCTCATATTTCACAGCTAATAATCTCAGCGATATCTGTCACAGATCCAAAGGCTAATGCGACAAGGATATCTCACCTCATATTTCACAGCTAATAATCTCAGCGATATCTCACACAGATCCAAAGGCTAATGCGACAAGGATATCTCACCTCATATTTCACAGCTAATAATCTCAGCGATATCTCACACAGATCCAAAGGCTAATGCGACAAGGATATCTCACCTCATATTTCACAGCTAATAATCTCAGCGATATCTGTCACAGATCCAAAGGCTAATGTGACAAGGATATCTCACCTCATATTTCACAGCTAATAATCTCAGCGATATCTGTCACAGATCCAAAGGCTAATGTGACAAGGATATCTCACCTCATATTTCACAGCTAATAATCTCAGCGATATCTAACACAGATCCAAAGGCTAATGCGACAAGGATATCTTACCTCATATTTCACAGCTAATAATCTCAGCGATATCTGTCACGGATCCAAAGGCTAATGCGATAAGGATATCTTACCTCATATTTCACAGCTAATAATCTCAGCGATATCTGTCACAGATCCAAAGGCTAATGCGACAAGGATATCTCACCTCATATTTCACAGCTAATAATCTCAGCGATATCTAACACAGATCCAAAGGCTACTGTCACATTAATATTAAAACCCATAACCATAAGGATATCTTGCTATGACATTTTATAGTGCATGCTCAGAGAGATTACCCTTTATATATACAGATTCTGTCAACCATGACTGTGATGAATATATTCACCCTGTGTACTGCACACATTAGCCTTGATAAGACAAGGACAGATAATGGAGAGAAGATGCAGGATCAAGAAGAGCCAAACATCAAACATTCATAGGAAGCTGATTCTACAAAGCCAGATTCTGAATCAATATAGTGTTTGTTGTGACCTACAAGTAAGCTGACAGGTAAACATTCCTGATATATACAGGTGTATAGAGCTCTCATTGACCAGGCAGGCCTAGGGTGAGGATCAAACCCAACACAGGTGAAAGTCAGGTATGCCTGATAATTACATCACACTCTACAACAGCCAAATCAGGTCATCACATGAATAACGCAACATGTAGCTGATCATAAACACAGTCTTAAACATGGAGCTGGTCATAAACTGAATTTTTCATGTAAGTCTCACCTGTAATCAACAGGTAGTATGCTCTCATACCTCAAGTCATAGATATCCATCAAAAATTGATTTGGTTTTTGCAGCATTTACTTTTATTACAACTAAAGCAAAACTTTTCTAATAATGTATGACTGGTTTTTTCCAGGCTTGAATTGTTGCTATAATGAATCTCAGACTGCAGGAACCAGCAAAATTTAATTGCAGTTCCTGATCTTCCAAGGTAAAGTTATGACTTTGCTAAAATCTGACACTCTAGTTTTAAGACCAAATGAAGGAATTAGGCTGTGATCAAATAAAACCTGTTACACAGCTGTTTCCATCAATGGCAAGTGAATGATAAATTTAAAATGATAATAGAAAAATGTACTTGTAAAACAGTACTTTGGGCACTGTCACCTGAGTTACCGGCAAAACACATGTTAATAATAACTTTTGATCCTACAGCTGTCGTAACTGTAACTGTCTTGTACGTTGGTGTACATATGTATATTTCTCTATACATTGAGTTGTGCATACTCACACCATCGAAGCAGGCCCGGGAGGCCATCTCATTGTACCCAAATGATGGTCCCTCAAACACAGCTGTTGGGAGTGTTAATAGGTCTCGTAGGTAGTCCTCAAATCGTTGTCGGTTTAGGTAGCCACTGGAGTCCGACAACTGAGTAAATATGTCTGTAATAGTAAATACAATGTATTCAGAAGGTTTTGGCCAAACTATATCAAATGGTTAACTAAAACAGAATGCCATATTTTCACAGAAACAGAAAACGTTTCTGATGAGCTCCATTCTTTTAAACATTTTCTGATCTTAATTTTTAGCATTTAACTATGCATGATTTCAGTGATTCTTTCACTAATTTTATAGCTAAAAAATAAGCTAAAACATGAGTTGTATTATTCCAAAATGAAAACGAAATCAGGACTATCTTTCCAACCTTACAGGAAATATTTCTATATCTTCATATTGTATGCTGACACAGACTGCTGTAACATGTACGGATAAAAAACATAGGACTATTTATGACATAAGCTAAATTCCTACCCTATATCATATGTATGACTTTATCATTTGCCTTATACACAGAGTAAATGACTTCTGTATAACGTATGACACCTGCTACAACTAAACATGGTTTGGAGATTCTTGACATCATCCCCATACTAAGTTACAACTTCAATCTGATTTGTGTTTTTATCTGGAAACAGCAAAGGTACAATAGATAACAAATCTTTGTCATATCAAACTCGAATCTGTGAAAAATGTATCCATGTCAGAAGCTGTAGCAAGGACAAAGAAAACGGAAAATGGAAAAATGGGTTTCTCTTTGAACTTAAAGGAAAAGACCAATGTGATAAATCTGTGTCATATGAAAACACCTCATGACATCATTTAAGGCAGTGCACAGTCAGATACTCATCCATTGTTTAATTAAACCCATGCTAATGGGGCCGCGTTTCCATGGCAACACGTGGGTGTGACTCACACTCACATCAGATATGGCCTAATCCTTTCCATGTACAATAACCACAAATTAAATTTAGAAGCAATTACAGCAACAAAAAGCTTAATGTGTTTTTCAATGACAGAAGTGTTCACGATGTGACTATCTGTAATTATACAGGATTTTGAAAATAGTAGGTAAATCTTCTTGGCACTGTTGTTGTAATTTGTTGAAACCAAACAAAAGAAAAATTAAAGTATAAACAAGTTGGTGTTAGGTTTTAACTTTTTCATTTAATCTAGGAAGGATTTGCACTTTAAGGTGTGGCTGTTATAAACAAGTTTGTACATTATCTTTACTCTTAAATTTATCTCTTAAATTCAAGTCTAAAACATAAAGATCAAGATTTTGACTATGGAACCAGTACATGTAGTATATAACAGCCAAAAGTATGGAGTGTACACATGTATTAGGAGGTGTACACATGTATTAGGAGGTGTACACAGGTATTAGGAGGTGTACACATGTATTAGGAGGTGTACACATGTATTAGGAGGTGTACACATGTATTAGGAGGTGTACACAGGTATTAGGAGGTGTACACAGGTATAAGGAGGTGTACACATGTATCAGGAGGTGTACACAAGTATTAGGAGGTGTACACATGTATCAGGAGGTGTACACAGGTATTAGGAGGTGTACACAGGTATTAGGAGGTGTACACATGTATTAGGAGGTGTACACAGGTATTAGGAGGTGTACACATATATTAGGAGGTGTACACAGGTATTAGGAGGTGTACACATGTATCAGGAGGTGTACACAGGTATTAGGAGGTGTACACAGGTATTAGGAGGTGTACACAGGTATTAGGAGGTGTACACATGTATCAGGAGGTGTACACAGGTATTAGGAGGTGTACACAGGTATTAGGAGGTCTACACATGTATCAGGAGGTGTACACAGGTATTAGGTGGTGTACACAGGTATTAGGAGGTGTACACAGGTATTAGGAGGTGTACACATGTATCAGGAGGTGTACACAGGTATTAGGAGGTGTCCACATATATTAGGAGGTGTACACAGGTATTAGGAGGTGTACACAGGTATAAGGAGGTGTACACATGTATCAGGAGGTGTACACAGGTATTAGGAGGTGTACACAGGTATTAGGAGGTGTACACAGGTATTAGGAGGTGTACACATGTATCAGGAGGTGTACACAGGTATTAGGAGGTGTCCACATATATTAGGAGGTGTACACAGGTATTAGGAGGTGTACACAGGTATAAGGAGGTGTACACATGTATCAGGAGGTGTACACATGTATCAGGAGGTGTACACATGTATCAGGAGGTGTACACATGTATCAGGAGGTGTACACAAGTATTAGGAGGTGTACACATGTATCAGGAGGTGTACACAGGTATTAGGAGGTGTACACAGGTATTAGGAGGTGTACACATGTATCAGGAGGTGTACACAGGTATTAGGAGGTGTCCACATATATTAGGAGGTGTACACAGGTATTAGGAGGTGTACACAGGTATTAGGAGGTGTACACATGTATTAGGTGGTGTACACAGGTATTAGGAGGTGTACACATATATTAGGAGGTGTACATAGGTATTAGGAGGTGTACACATGTATTAGGAGGTGTACACAGGTATTAGGAGGTGTACACAGGTATTAGGAGATTAGGAGGTGTACATAGGTATTTGGAGGTGTACAAAGGTATTAGGAGGTGTACACATGTTTTAGGAGGTGTACACAGGTATTAAGTGTACATAGGTATTAAAGCCCCAATATATGTAACATTCACCAAAAATTTAGTGTAGAATCACACATAATTATTGAGATATTCTCTAAGATGTAGTTAAAATTAAGTTATTCAAACAATAGTTACCATGACTTTGTGCATAAAGTATTGATATATGAGCAGTTGAAACTCGCTATTTGTAAACACACCTCCATTTTAAACACGCCGCCATCGAAATTACGATTGTTGCCGAACCACGTCGGAAAGTTCATGACCTGATCTCGCGACAGTTGAGGTTTCTACTTATAGAGGAAGCACATGCAGATATGTCTTTGGTAAGTTTTTGTTTACAAGCATTGTTTGCGAAGTCTTGTTGTAGACTTGAGGTATTCCTGTGTTTTTGGGAAATTATTAGAAGGAATAATTAGTTTAGAAACGATACGACGCACAATTATAACGTAAGAATTCAGAACTGGCCTGATGTATGATCGGAAAAAAAGGAAGCGACTGGTGAACGTCTGTACTGTTTCTGCCATGTTTACACACGCGGAATATGTGCATGCACAATGTCATCGCTACGAGCGGTAATGTATGAATTATTGTGGGTCCCACATTGTTTATTTTCCGATTTTTTCAATTTTTATTTAAATTGAAAAAAGTCAGTTTTATTTTCTTTTATTAAAGGAAAGTATTTGTTTTGTTACATATATTACGGGGAAAATAAGATAAAGTTTGTTTTTTATAGTGATTTTTACGTATATTGGGGCTTTAAGAGGTGTATATAAGTAATAGGAGTGTACATAGGTATTAGGAGGTGTACACAGGTATTAGGTGGTGTATACTGGTATTAGGAGGTGTACACAGGTATTAGGAGGTGTATACAGGTATTAGGAGGTATACTGGTATTAAGAGGTGTATACAGGTATTAGGAGATGTACACAGGTATTAGGAGGTGTATACAGGTATTAGGAGTGTACATAGGTATTAGGAGGTGTACACAGGTATTAGGAGGTGTATACAGGTATTAGGAGGTGTACACAGGTAGTAGGAGATGTTCACAGGTATTGGGTGTATACAGGTATTAGGAGGTGTATACAGGCATTAGGAGGTGTATACAGGTATTAGGAGGTGTACACAGGTATTTGGAGGTGTATACAGGTATTAGGAGGTGTATACAGGTATTAGGAGGTTTATACTGGTATTAGGAGGTGTATACAGGTATTAGGAGGTATATACATGTATAAGGAGGTGTATACAGGTATTAGGAGGTGTATACAGGTATTAGGAGGTGTATACAGGTATAAGGAGGTGTATACAGGTATAAGGAGGTGTATACAGGTATTAGGAGGTGTATACAGGTATAAGGAGGTGTATACAGGTATTAGGAGGTGTATACAGGTATTAGGAGGTATACATAGGTATTTGGAGGTATATACAGGTATAAGGAGGTGTATACAGGTATTAGGAGGTGTATACAGGTATTAGGAGGTGTATACAGGTATTAGGAGGTGTATACTGGTATTAGGAGGTGTATACAGGTATTAGGAGGTATACATAGGTATTTGGAGGTATATACAGGTATAAGGTGTATACAGGTATGAGGAGGTGTACATAGGTATTTGGAGGTGTATACAGGTATAAGGAGGTGTACACAGGTATTAGGAGGTGTATACAGGTATTAGGAGTGTACATAGGTATTAGGAGGTGTACACAGGTATTAGGAGGTGTATACAGGTATTAGGAGGTGTACACAGGTAGTAGGAGATGTTCACAGGTATTGGGTGTATACAGGTATTAGGAGGTGTATACAGGTATTTGGAGGTGTATACAGGTATTAGGAGGTGTACACAGGTATTTGAAGTGTACACATTTATTATGAGGTGTCCCATCAAGGACATGATTGGTAGGTAAGTGACACTAGCAGACTTGTTCCCACTTACAGCGCAGCTTGTCCATCAGTTTTCCAGCACACATATGGGACAATGCTACTTTCAGGCAAAACACTCGAATTCGCCCTCGGCCAGCACTATCAAAAAACAAAAGTAAAGTCACATGGCCACTACCATACTGAAAATGTCACAAAATATTCAAAGACAATATAAAGGGATCCTACATCAAACTACCTCAATTCCTCGTCAAGCTTTCCTTGATGGTGTAGATTTGTTGATTCCAGGATTATCTCTACTATTTGTATATATATTTTGATTTCATGGTTACCTGTCCTAAATCGTATTAACAGTTTGTTTTCATGGTTACCTGTCCTAAATGGTATTAATAGTTTGTTTTCATGGTTACCTGTCCTAAATGGTATTAACAGTTTGATTTCATGGTTACCTGTCCTAAATGGTATTAACAGTTTGATTTCATGGTTACCTGTCCTAAATGGTATTAACAGTTTGATTTCATGGTTACCTGTCCTAAATGGTATTAACAGTTTGATTTCATGGTTACCTGTCCTATATGGTATTAACAGTTTGATTTCATGGTTACCTGTCCTAAATGGTATTAACAGTTTGATTTCATGGTTACCTGTCCTAAATGGTATTAACAGTTTGATTTCATGGTTACCTGTCCTAAATGGTATTAACAGTTTGATTTCATGGTTACCTGTCCTAAATGGTATTAACAGTTTGATTTCATGGTTACCTGTCCTAAATGGTATTAACAGTTTGATTTCATGGTTACCTGTCCTAAATGGTATTAACAGTTTGATTTCATGGTTACCTGTCCTAAATGGTATTAACAGTTTGATTTCATGGTTACCTGTTCTAAATGGTATTAACAGTTTGATTTCATGGTTACCTGTCCTAAATGGTATTAACAGTTTGATTTCATGGTTAGCTGTCCTAAATGGTTTTTATAGTTTGATTTCATGGTTACCTGTCCTAAATGGTATTAACAGTTTGATTTCATGGTTACCTGTCCTAAATGGTTTTTATAGTTTGATTTCATGGTTACCTGTCCTAAATTGTATTAACAGTTTGATTTCATGGTTACCTGTCCTAAATGGTATTAACAGTTTGATTTCATGTAATCAAATGATAAAGATAAATACCCTTAGTTACCTTTCCTATGTTAAGACCAAAGATAAGAGATTTTTACCTGTCGTAAGCATTGATGAGCCAACTAAGTAACATCTGTATACATTGGTCATTGTCCACCTGTTGTGGGGACGGTAGACGTTTGTTCAGGTGACAGAATATACTGGACAACACAGACTCCACCCGCGACCCATTCAGCTCAGACTCCGGCTCCAGAGTGTTCAGGCCATTCTCCCGGAAAGCCTCAATGATGTTCCATATGTCAACAAGATACACTGCAAACACAACCAATACAGATCATACTAAAACCTGTCAGACACACTTACTCACGTAAAATAGGTTAAGACCCATTAAAAAACAAAAAAAGATCAGCAGGTTTGTCTTTACTTCAGAAATGAATAATCTACTGTTTAAACAAATGTTGTAAAACTGCATTAGAGTTTATATATAGTTCTGAGGATTCTGGGTACCTCGCTAATACTCATGTTTTAACTCTGTTATTGGGAGACCCCAGAGCAACACTGACATATAACATGGTGTAATTGAAATTGACATATTTTTGACAGAAGTTAAATTGAAATAAACAATATGAAAGTATCTCACTTCATCTTACACTAAGTAATATTTACAAAACTTCCAAACTTCGGAAGTGTTTTATGGATATTGTCTAGAAAAACCAGGACCTCCATCTTGTTGAACGGAATCGAGTGGGCCTTAAAGCTATCAATGTTTCTACATTGTAAACTGATCTTTAAATAGTCTCCACATATACGTACAATATAGCATTACAAACATTTCAAGACAATTTTTGTAAACAAGAGGACCAAGGCTCTTAACATTCATCTAACAATCCATCGTAGTGTTTTGGAGCAAAATAATTGACTAACTTTCCCATTTGGGGCCATGTCCCCAGGTCCCTAGGGGTGAACTCAGCTGTCTGAGTTTAAGAAGCCATAACTCAATTGCAGCAATGTTTCAGATCAAAGTTGGTTGAAATCTACCCTGGCATTAAGAATGAGTAGCATTTTGAAGCAAAATATTGTCTAACTTCCCTTTTTGGAGCCTCATCCCTTGGTCCCTTATAGTCAAATAAACTTTCTGAATTTAGGAAATGATTCTCCAACCTCAATGATATTTCAGACCATGTTTGGTTGAAATCCATTCAAGCATTAAGGAAGAGTAGTGTTCTGCAGCAAAATATTGACAAAATTCCTAATTTGGGGCCCCGTCCCTAAGTCCCTAGGGTTCCTATCAACTTTCTGAATTTAAGAATTAATTGCCTAAATCTACTGCTGTTTCAGACAAAATCCTCGCCCTCTCCCACCAAGTCCCTAGGGGTTGAATCAAATTTCTGAATCTAAAAATTATTTGTAAACCTGTAATGATATTAGACAAAATTCGAATAAAATCAATTAAAGCATTCAGGAAAAGTATATCATTCTGAAGCAAAGTAAATGTCTAACTCCCCTTTTGGGGGCCCATCCCCAAGTCCCTAAGGGTTGAATCAAATTTCTGGATAAAGAAATGATTCCCCACCCCTAATAATGTTTCAAATCATGTGGTTGAAATCCACCATGGCATTAAGCAGGAGTATTGTTTTAAAGGTAAAGGGTACTGACAGAGAATGGCTAATGGCCAATGAGGAACAGCAAACGATGACGGACAATACACATTAGCAATGGAATCAGCAATAAATAGCAATAAAAAACAGATGACCTAAAAATCTATACAGAACAGCTCCATAATTTCCTAGTCTGTCAATCAAGTACACAGAATTCAAAAGATATCAATTACTGATTAAATGTTGCCTGAGTTAACCAACTCCTGATCAGAACAACAATGGATACGCGAGTTTCTTCTCTCAGTGATTTTTTTATTTCTAACATGACAGTCAGTGGAATTAAATCCACCACAAAATATGTTTCTTCCACAAAACATTGTGATTCCACTCTCAGATCATTGTGTAAATGTGCTGAGAGTGCCAGGGTACATGATATTAATATCTACCACTCGTGGTATATGACCTTGTGATCCTTTGATTGGTTATGAAGTCGAACTTTGAACATAAGGACACTTCACCTTATTGATTTTAGGATAACTAATTAACAGCTTGTTACAAATTCTAATAAGTTATAATATTTTCACATATTAATTAGTGGTATTTCACTACAGGTCATATAATTATGCCCCGACTAATTTAAATGAAATATATGTTGGTACAGAAAATGTCAATTCAAATTTGAAACAGCCTTTTTTTCACTGTGGTAGAAACAGGTAACACAAACTTGTGGTTGTTACTGTATTTTCAGGGCTATTTTTCGATTTGATCCACAAATAAGACACCCCAGGATATAAGCTGCACCCTTTCTTACGATGTGGTAACCATTATGTTGACCAAAGTTTGTAGATATAAGAGACAATGGAAGGCAATTTGTCAAGATTGTCAGTGAAACATTTAACATATGTTTGCAAATGAACTTTACACATATTTCACACCAAATTTGGTTGAAATCCATTCAAGTGTAAAAAAGGAGTAGCGTTTTGAAGCAAAATTTTGTATTATTTTCCCTTTTGAGGCCCCGTCCCAAAGTCCCTGAATTTAAGAAATAATTGCTTACCCTAACTGATGAATTGGGCCAAAGCTTGTTGAAATCTACCAAGGCTGAAAGGAGGAGTAGGGTTTAAAATCTAATTTAAGCAACTTCCCCTTTGGGGACTTGTCCCTGGACCCCTCAGGGTCAAATCAAAATTGAGGTTTTTTAATGTAAAACCAATTTTCATGATGTAATACTTACCATAACTTTAGTATGCAAATACAGTACCTACACCCATCTTTGTATCCCAACAACAAAAGATTCAAAAGAAAAACAATCCCGCCCTCCCTACGATCCATGAGCCATCACGGCAGGAACGCAGAGTGATCTCCCTTCCTCTAATAACCTTTATGGCGTAAACTCCACAGAGGGGCAGCCAGGCAGATAAGGAAGAGGGGAGGATAGGGTGGGACTCCATAAAGTTATGGTAAGTATTACATCATGAAAATTGGTTTTACATTAAAAAACCTCAATTTCATTTCAGTAATAATTACCATAACTTTAGTATGCGAATTCGTCTTACCGTAGTGGTGACTAGAAGCCAGGCAGCCCCTTCAGCACAACCAAAGTAGTAGGGAGGGAGAACAGAGTGCTAAAGTGAAGGAAGGGACCTCTCTGTGAAAGAGCAGGTGTACCCACATGCCGCCGTACGGAAAGACATGGCCCGGGGCTAACGAGGAGGCCCAGCCACTGACTATGCCACCACCAAAGGTCCCAATGAATACAGGCCTTCTGAGTGGGAAGCTAGGGATCACAGATAAAAATCTGTTAAGGTATCCCTGCCCTGCCAGAATACTGCAGACATGACCTCCTGAAAGGAGGACTCATTGAGAGAAGGGCCCAGGATGAAGCAAGGGCCCTGACCTCGTGAGACCGCGCTTTCGCTCTCGCCCGAGCCAGATCATCAAAATGCTCGTAAGCATACTAAATCACCTGGCAAACCCACCTGGAAACCGACTGGGAGGAGATATCTCGTTGCCCCTGTTTAATGGGCAAAACAGACGGGATCGAGAGCCCCGCCCCCCCCCTGGTTTTATCAAGATAAAACCTAAGAGCCCAACAAGGACAAAGCAACCTATCTCGCTCCTCCGAGCTAGTCACAGCCAGGATCCTGATGGGATCGTGCGAGAACCCCGGAACCTGATTCTTCGCTAAAAACAACTCTATTCATAGCAAAGCCTCTGATTAGGGCAGAAAGAGAGGAGGACTAACCGATCTCCTTCCTGCCATAACAAGCAAGAACTCTGGCAATAGCTGTACGATAGCCAGCAATAGTGCCAGGTGGCAGATAGCGGTACCTAAACAGAGAGATTAGGAATTCCGCAATCAAATGCAGAGGCTTCGAATGAATAAGCTTCCTTGCCGACACACCAATCACAGAAGATCATCCAACGTGACTGGTAGACGGCAGAAGAGGAAGCCCTGATTGATTGCTCAATGCAATCTGACACCTCTTGAGAAAAGCCTGCCTTGGCGTGGCTTCCAGAGATAGCCTCAGCGCGTGAAGGTGAAGGATCTCTGGTCAAGAGTGTGTCGTTCTGGGCCAAGGCTGGCGAAGGAGATTCGGTCTGGTGGGGAGAGCCAAGGGCTCCTCCACCAGAAACGACAAGAGCTCCTGAAACCAAGCTTGCCTCGGCCACAGAGGGGCTCTCAGAAGTAAGGAGCAGTGATGCTCCCAGAACTTCTGTAGAACCCTGCCCACCAGGTTGAAGGGAGGGAATGCATATGCATACGTCCCTTCCTATTCCAGAGAAAGGGCGTCCACAGCCCACGCCTTACGGTCTGGGACCGGGGAGACGAAGGTTAGCAGCTGGTTGTTCAGGGAAGTGGCAAACAGGTCTATAATAGGTCTGTCCCATGCCTGACAATTCCCCTTGAAAATCAAGGGACACAGCTGCCATTCCGTCAACACCGGCTGGTGGCGCCTGGAGAGTGGCCACCAACACACTCAGCCTGCCAGAAAGATGCTTGACCGCTATGGTCAACTGCATGTCCTGGCAGAGAAGATGGATGTGGATGGAGAGGGCACACAGGACATGAGACCTGGTGGCCCCTGTCTCTCCAGATACGCGACAACTGTTGTCGGTAGCCACACTTTGGACTGCAGGATACCCCTAAAGGACTGCAGAGCCAAATGAACAGTCTCATCTCGAGTACACTGATGTGCTCCGAGAGTTGTTCGCCAGACCACTCCCCCAAGCGGCATTGGCCATCGAGGTAAGCTCACATTCCTGTCATGAACGCGTCCATGAACAGGATCATAGAGGGGATAGGCTTGGTCAGAGGTACCCCGTGGAAAATGTTCTCCTGAATGGTCCACCAGCAAGAGAACTCCCTGACCGACTGGGTAAGCGGGATCCAGGCCTCCTGGATGACGGAACCCAGTCAGACAGGAGGAACATCTGGAGAGGTCCGATGTGAATCCTCCCTAGGGGGACCACATATGCCAAGGAGTTGAGATACCCCAGAAAACTGAGGAACCAATGTACCTGGACAAGCGACCAAGTGATGAAAGTCAGAGCCAGAGCCCTGACCTTCTCAAACTTCTCCAGAGGTGGAAGGGCTAAGCCCCGAACCATGTCAAAATGGTTCCCCAGGAAGAAGAAGTCCTAATATGAAGGAACCTCTGACTTCTGAGCAAGAGTTTCAGGACCAGACGAGTGTCCTTCACTAACGATTCC